AAAAAAAAAAAAAAAAAAACCCTCCACCAAGGGCGTGTTACTTTCTGCTTTGCTTATGTGCACGTTCATTACGCCCGGCACCTCCTTCCATGTTCATTTCAGAGAGTCCCACACATGCCCACACATGATGTGATCAGCCCTGCCGTCTCCACCATTGGAATAGAATGCCGAGTCATTATCATTGTATTTTGGTGTAACTTTCAGTCTAGATGCAGCGATAATGACCAGGTATTATTGTGGGTGAAGATGGTACAGCACCAGCATTGGCAAGTTGACCCTATTTCCAGCAGGTGCAGCTCCCCACCAATAGATGGAGTGACCAAATGAGGGTCTAGTAGGGGGGGGATGATTCTAGCACTCCTACTAGAACCTACAGAGTCACGTAAACGGCAAGTACCTTTCGCAGCTATGGGCGGTGGGCAGTGCGCGCCGAGTTTTGGGGGCGCATCTGGACGCCACCGGAGGCCGAGTGTGGCCTCAAGTGTTAACCAGGGCGATTCGGGAAAATGCCTGGGAAAGGTACTGGTGAGTCAGGTGGTTTAAAAAAAGACAAAAAAAAAAGAAAAAGGTCACCCTACAGATGTGAGTCACCTGGAGCATGGTCTCACTAGCAAAAAGGATCGGATCGAGCTCCTGAATCTGGACGTGCTTTACCCAGAGATGCAGAAAAGCAGTTCAATCTCGATTTCCTGCACATCTCCATAACCTCGTCCAGATTCGGGCATTCGATCCGATCCTGTTTGCTAGTGGGACCACGCACGCCCCTGCAGTTCTCCTTATGCTCATGTTTTTCAATGTTTTGTCTCTTTATTCATGGAGTCTTATGGCCCCTTGATTTTTCCTTTTTTGTGATTGCTTTGTGATTCTTTTCTCCCCCCAGGGAAGTCCAGGGTCAAGAGGCTATCCTTTTCTTGTCCTGGTTGTTGTTGGAACTCTTTCCTTTGGATTCTCGACACGCTTCCTCGCGTTTGTGCTGAAGTTTACATCCCATGACATTGTCACAACTCACTCCAAGGTGCTGACGAAGACGCCTTTTGAGGTGAGCACCTGTTGTTGGATCCCCACAAGTGTATTCTAAATTTCTAATTTCTAACTTCTAATCTTCCTCTCTCCCTTTCACCATTCCCCTCTCTCTCTCTCTCTCTCTCTCTCTCTCTCTCACACACACACACACACACACACACACACACACCGTTTGTGAGTGTGCTGTAACTACCAGATCAGGGGCTGCTCTCTCTCTCTCTCTCTCTCTCTTTCTTTCTCTGTGTGTGTGTGTGTGTGTGTGTGTGTGTGTGTGTGTGTGTGTGTGTGTGTGTGTGTTTGTGAGTGTGCTGCAACTACTAGACCTGAGCAGGAGGCAGAAGGGTAGCGGCGATCTGATTGCAGGACCGTATGCCATGGACATGAACCAGATATGTTAACTGTGATGTGAAAGCGTCGCGTTTCGGTTCAATTTGCTGTACTCATCTCTCTCTCTCTCTCTCTCTCTCTCTCTCTCCATGTCTGTGTGGTTGTGTGTTTGTGCATCCTCATGTCCCCACTTGCTTTATTCCTTGCTGTCCTGCATGAAGAAAGTAGTGTGAATGTCTTGGGAACCGGCTGGCTTAAGCGACCTCACAAACTCGATGTTTGCTACGCCGTCTTCCTTTTTTTTAAACTGGTTCATCGAAATGACAGTCTGGGTTATGGGAAAGGATGGGGTGCTGCCAGTACTACTAGTGTGCTTGCGGCCTCACATGGATCTCTGCTATGATCTGTTGGCGGGTTGGCCTGTGTGAAAACATTGAACCCTAGCTATGAAAGGAAATACGGATTGGCATATTTTATTATTTTGCATATTATACCTGTATTTCTGATGGTTCTTGGATCAGGTGAAGCTATGATGTGAAAGGATGTAGATCACTCGTTCCCCTCCCCCCCCCTCTCTCTTTCTGATGGGATCAGATTTGGCTTACTGAAGCTCATGTTGAAGCACCCACTGCTTGATCTGTTACCTTACTAGCAGGAATTGTTATTATTATTATTATTATTATTATTATTATTATTATTTCATTCAATAGCGGGAATTCTCTACTGCTATTTGATCGGGGGTGGGGGACTATGAAAAGGGAAGCTTATTATTATTATTATTATTATTTCATTTAATAGCGGGAATTCTCTACTGCTATTTGATCGGGGGTGGGGGACTATGAAAAGGGAAGCGCAGCTACTGGTAAAATGCTCGGTTCATTGCACAGGTCTGTACATTTGTATAGTACACTGTCGTAGGACTGTGACACGGTGATTGTTGTATACAGCCGCAGATAATATAGGAGAGTTATATATGGTTTTTAGCTGTACAAACAGGTCCTCTGGGATCAAGCATATACCTTGTAGAATTGTAGAGTGATAGATGTGTAGGACAACAATACGGCTGATGCTGTATACAGCTGCCGTTGATATGGGGTACTGGAATATGGTAGAATCGATGTGAATGGCCGTTTTTTTTTATCTTTTTTGTGCTTTGAAGAAGGTCTCCATCCCAGATACACTTGAGTCATAGTCGTGGTATGAGCTTTGCCTGGCCGAAGAGCCTCGCTCAGCTCAGTACTGCGGCGACTTTTTGTAAGGGACGCCAGGTCCGCTTCCCGGCTTTGATATTAATAAATGGTGACCTTTTAAAAAAAAAATAAAAAAAATGCTCGGTCTTGTGTGGACTCATTCCTCGTTTGAGGCAGGCGGTACCGGCTGCGAACCTAGCCGATGATGCCTCGTTCGCTGCTGGGGCTGCCCTTTTGTTTTGTGACGGATGCCGGGCCCGGTTCCCGGCTTGTATAATGCAATGTGTTCTTTCCAACAACAACAACAACAACAAAAAAAAAAAAAAAAAAAAAAAAAACAACAACAACAACAACAACAACAACAACGCTTGGTCTTTGGGTTAGCTCCAATTTTTCTTAGTCAAAGCCGGGTAATGGCCCCGGTATCTCAATTTTCAAAATTCGATGTAAATCTTCATGTGGGACGCTGGGCTCGGTTCCCAGCACGTGCTGCTCCCCACGAATAGATTAGAGCCTTGTTCCCATAAAAAAAAAAGGGTTAGCTGGACCCCCACTGGCGGCCCCACCCCATCTCTGACTACTGCTGTCGGGGTGGGGGGCAACATGCAATCCTTTCATTGTGAGGCAGCTATGCGCCCAGGGGCGAGGTCCCACTAGCAGCGGGATAGGATAGAAAAGACTTTGTGTGGCAGTTGAGTGACCCAAATCCTGCCGTGCAGTAATCGTGATCCCACGGTCAGTATTTTACATGTATTACACGAAAAAGTAAGGAGATCTTGGTTCCCCTCCTCTCCTTAACACTGGGCTTGCTGGTGCAAAGGAAGCTTCCCGCCAAAATCTTTTCAATCCGTTGGGGCTATGGCCAACCGCAAAAGAGAGTGGGGTCGGCCATAGGCCCACTGGATAGAAGATTTGGAGTATTTTGCTTGCTGTTGTGCAATTATCTCATTGGGTGGAGCCCTCCTTCAATCAAGGAGTATATGGAGGGTGTCAGGATCAGTGCTGACAGAAGTCAAGTTCATTCCAGAAAATGTGGCGGTTACTTTGTTCACTGTTGTTGCAACCACCACCATCAGATCATTTGTGATCTGATGGATGGGAAGCACTCTGCCGTGATTTCCGGTGGGAGGTCTCTGTTTCTTTTTTTTTTTTGGCCTTTCTCCTGTTTTCTCAGCCCAGAAATTCGTAATACACCTGTCTGGCCGCTGTCACTCAGTGTCACACTGGATAGGACACACTCCTATCCGACTGCTAATGGGACCTCGCCCCAGGGGTCCCCTCTATATAGGCTTAGGAGTAGTGGTAGGTAGGTAGTGAAAGGCAAAAAGAATTTGAGAGAAGAATATGCGTTCGGAACGGGCCGAAGGCCCGAATCCTAACGCCCGAACGCACGGGACCCCTCGGGGATGCGTTCGGCAGTTCAGGCCGAACGCAGACCAAAAAAAAAAACAACAAAAAACAAAACAACAAAAATCTGAAAACGAAATATGTTATGAAGAAAAATAAAATAAACAACATTTGCCTGAACATTACATCCAAATTCATTACCAAATTTGAAATGAAAATAAAATACAGAAAATAAAATACAGAAAATAAAATACAGAAAATAAAATACAGAAAATAAAACTAATAATAAAAATAAGAAAAAATGAAAAGAGAATTAAACTTACTGAGTGAGCAAGCACATTTTCGACACCACCATCTTTGGCGGTTTTTCATTTTGTTTTCACGCAGCCAAATGCGCTGAAAATTTACAAATGTGTACTTTCACATAATAAAAAACTCACAAAAAAAATTTAAAAAAATAATAAAATGTTTTAGGCCCCGCAATAAAGTGAAAACGAAAAGTAAAAAGTGACAAAAAACAAAATAGTGAGTGGGCGAGCACGGTTTTTTTTTTTTTTTTGGCAAAAAAGGGAGTATATCGTATAACCACAGGCTGGGAAACGGGCCCAGCGTCCCTCACATCAATAACCACAGCACGCAGGGATGAGCCAGGCTCTCCGGCCTGGATTAACCCCACCGCGGCTGAGCACCCGTTAGCCCGCAACGCTACACACTAATTAACTCTATTAACATCACACCCTAATTAACACTAATTAACATCACCAATCCTAACACTAAAGCACAAACCAACTCAAACTATCAAAAGGAAAACGCAACCGGAAATCTACACCCGAACCACTCGAAAAGACCAACAGAATTGAACCCTAACTAGCTCATAGGCAAGTAAAAGAAAAACCAAATACCCACTACACACACCAATCATAAACTAATTAACTCTCAAAATCTGTACAATTGAAAAGAACCAAATAAGGATGAAGAGTTCGCAAGCTGCACCACACCCGAAGTAGGAGCATCAGCAACACAAAGCGACGCTGATCGCAACTTAAAGCCCGTTGTGAACGACGGTGGGCGATACCAGTCACAGCTAAGCTCTAATGTCGCTTTCCCGAAGGTCGGTGCTCGTTGATGCACGCACGTCTCTCATCTCTCCGTAAATCTTCAACTTCTGACTCCGTATCAAAGCCAGGGGAAAAGTTCCTGACAGGTTTCGCATACTGATATGTACGACGCCCAGATCCCGCCCTTGGGACCACCACACATCTCCTCCATCCTCCCGTAGTCTCTCCAGGAACGCCAGCATACACCGACCGGGACCAGGATATGGCAGAAGCGTTTCAGTGCTTCCTCAAGGCAGTCCCCACCCTGCGCCCATGCGCCTCTTCTCCCCCACTGCCTCCGCCATTCCAACCCCAGGTTTTGGCACCGCGCAGCACTGATCGTGATCCCCCACAGCCCAGGCGCTCGCTCATGTAAAAAAATCAGAGGCGCTAATTTTGGCTTAGCAAAATGACTTCAAAATTTATAGGCATGTACCTCACATCATAGAGAACTCACAAAAAAAGCAATTCAGAAAAAAAAACTTATTTTTAGGTCCCGAAATAATTTTTGGCGGGGCCTGAAAATCGGGACTTTGGGGATTTTTAATTTTTGTTTGGCTTAGCAAAACGACTTCAAATTTATATGCATGTACCTCACATCATAGAGAACTCACAAAAAGCAATTCAGGAAAAAAAACTTATTTTTAGGTCCCGAAATAATTTTTGGCGGGGCCCGAAAAACAGGACCCCGAACGCCCGTACGTACGGAGGTCGGCCCGGGGACCTCCGTACGTACGGGCTGGTGACCCTGGTGTAGTTAAAAAAAAAAGAAAACAAAGGGAACTTACGTTTTTTAAAAGATTTTCCACACTTGCAAGCATAGCTGCCTCTATATAAGTTCACGGCATTTTTAATGCATGATTTGTGCAAGTGTGCCGCCATTAAAAGATTTCGTAGTCTGTAGATAATACGAGACACAGAAAATTCGTTAAAAGATTTCACGCTGTGTCAGTGTACCAAGTACTGATCCCACGTCCCAAATGGTCCCAGTCTCACGAGTCTGCAGGCCCAGCGGCAGAAGCAACGCTTCGGATTCGGTAGGTAGAATCGGGTCCGGCAGGTAAATTGTTATACTAAGGGTCGTTAGAAATCGTAGGCCCAATACCCGACACAATAAATTTCCAAAGCCCCAAGTCCAACTTTGCAGCAGCATCCTGGGAAAGTCCGGAAGGTTCCGGAGCTGGCAAAGTGCCGCCGACCGGCCGTGGTGATCGGTACCGGTCTGAAACCGACAAAGATATCACTTCAGTTCAGCTGCTATTTATAGATGCTACAATGCTTCCATCGGGTCACTTGTCAACCAACAAAGATATCACTACAGCTGCTATTTATAGATGCTAGTGTGCTGCCATCTTCCTCCCTGGCAACCCCAGCTATGTTTACTTACACTTTCTTTGGGGTGCCCCTCCTTTCATTTGCTCTTGCAGCTCCCTTTTTACTATGCCTCTCGCATACAAAGCTGGCCACATTGGTTTGTGGTCGAGCGCCAGCTGCCCACACTCCTGCCGCCCCGCGCATATGTGTTGTCATATTCACTATACACTCAAAAAAAGCATGACTGTGCCAAAGTGTTTCGTCGGACTTTCACCAACTCATCAGGAGGTTGAATGTGTGTGTGTGTGTTGTTTTAAAAGACCCCAGATTCTCTCCCTCATTTCCTTCACAGATCATCACAAGCCATCCATAACGAAAAAGTATATAGAGAAAATATAATAGAAAATGCAAGGTTGGCCAAGTTTGTGTGGTTCACCGCCAAGTGCCCACACACCTGCGCGCGCGTGCGTGTGTGTTGGTGTGTGTGTGGTGGTTGTGTGTGTGTGTGGTGGTTGTGTGTGTGTGTGTGTGTGTGTGTGTGTGTGTGTGTGTGTGTGTGTGTGGGTGGGTGGGTGTAGTCTGTGTGTTCTGAACCTTTTTGACACATTGGACTGACGATGTATTGGTTATGGGACAGTATGGCATGGTGGCTTTTGGCACAGCATTCAGCATTTTTGGATGCTCGCTAACGTATCAACGAGAGCTGGAAAAAAAGATTGCGGTGAGTTTTTCATAGGATCATACTCTTTTGTAGACTCTAGAGATGACCACAGGGAACACATCTTCATGTGGTTTCAGACAAATGTACGTAAGGCAGCAGATAATAATAAATATATAATATATATGCTATATAGCCTAGTTCATGTCACCTATTTTCAGTGTGTCTTTTCCTTTACCAGCTAACTGTGTTTTGTTCTTAAAGGTGTTTTGAAGATTTTTCTCTTTCTAGAAATTTTCGTTTTCAGAAGGGATATGTTGTGGATGGTGGAATCGGTCTAGGGGCGTGACGCGTTGGCAGGGCAACTTGTTCATTGATTAACCATTTGGTTCAGTAATTAACCAATACTGAAATTTGACTGGCTGAACTGACTTATTCATAACTAGTTGATGGGTTCATTTCATTGATTGTGTTCCTTTGATTAGTTCATTGATTAGTTCATTGATTGGTTCAGTGTTTGGTTGATTGGTTGATTGACTGGTTGATTCAACTTGATTGATTGGTTGATTGATTGGTGATTGATTGGTTGATTGATTTACTTTTTTTTTT